TGATGATCGTAACGCCATTTTTTTTTTCATTTTAGTTTCTTTTATTGTCAGTTTTTGTATCTGACGATTTGCTAAACTTATTGTTTTAATTGGTCACATTTTAAGAGTTATACTTTCAGTCTAAATACCCTGGTGGCTACTATAAAAAAGAGAAAAACGCGGGTGGCGTGGATCGCAGAAAGGCCATGGCTTTGAGCCCTGCACCTTTAGGACCATCGTAGGGGTTGACTGGCTCGATCTTAGACAGAACATCCTCCACACCATCTCTCAGCGCCGCCTTCGCTGGGCTGGGTCCCGTTCTGCGACGACTTGGTAATCACTCTAAAAGAGTCATCTACCAGTTCAACCCACCATCTTTAAACCTGTGGTAAGAACCGTGAGTGCTGGGGGACAAGGTGGCTCTCGTCAGATTTAACGACTTCATGTTATGAGCAGCTGCAAGTATACGACACAAGCGTTGTCGATGACGCTTCAAGTAATCGAGAGAGCCAACCTTCAGGTCTCACATGCGTATAATAACGATGTTAAGGCCGATGCACCGTGTAGCTTGTATTTAGTTACTTGTCAAATTCAACGCTGTCGATTTTCCAACTTACCGAATATATCAGAGGCCTTTTGAATTTGCCTAGGGATTTTGATGCTCAGTTTGCCTGTTTTCATTAGATTGCTATCAAGGTAAACGAAGTCATCAACCATGCTTATACATTTATTGTGTACAAAGATATTTGGCTCTAGGTTCCACACTTTCCAGTATATGCACTATGGGACATTCAATGAGTTTTACAGACTGTACCGGGAAAGCCATCAGTCAGTTATGCGTGATACACGCTTAGGCGATCATGTATCTATCCATACATGACTGACGAGGCAGATTTTTTCCCGTAGTAGATTGTCATTTCCTTATGTATGCGGTAGACCAGTTGCCATACAAGGCTATAGAACCCAGTCTGTCCTGCTAACCATATCTGAGGGGAGAAGAAGAGGATTGATACCTTTCCCAAGGATATTAGTTCCGAGGTGGATGTAATGGATTCGACTGGAAAGTCAGTCAGTCAGTTAGCCGATCGTGTATCGAAAGATACATGACTGACGAGGCAGATTATTTTTTTGGCAATTGTCTAAAGATTTTGTATCTGGGAATCAGTCAGTTATGTGCCATGTGTGATACACGCGTAGGCGATCATGTATCTATCGATACATGACTGACGAGGCTGATTATTTTTCCCGCAATAGGTTGCCATTTCTTTCTGCGGAAGGCCAGTTCACATTCAAACCTATAGAACCCGGTCTGTCCTGCTAGTTACACATAGCTGGGGTGGGGGAAGACTCATACCTTTCCCAAAGGTATTAGCACATAAGTGAATGTAATGGTTTCGACTGAAAAGTCAGTCAGTCAGTTATGTGCCATGCGTGATACACGCTTAGACGATCATGTATCTTTCGATACATGACTGACGAGGCAGATTATTTTTTTCCCGTAGTAGATTGCTATTTCTTTCTACGGAAGACCAGTTGCCATGCAAGGCAACTTAATAAAATCCAGTCTTTCTTGCTAGTTACTCATAGCCTAAGAAGAAGAGGATTCATACCTTTCCCAAGGGTATTAGTACGTAAGTAAATGTAATGGATTCGACTGGAAAGTTAGTCAGACTTCTAGAGAAAGCCGTATGGCTTTCTCTAGAAGGCACGGTGGAGTTATGGATAGGGGCTCGGATTGAGAAATCGGAGAGCTGAGTTCGATTTCCAGCCGAATCCATGACATTCATTTACGTTATTCATTTACGTTACCCTTAAGAATCCTTCCCCCCAGCTATGGGTGAATAAAAGGGCAACACGAGTTGTATAACCTTAGATATCAACTGATCTTTCGTTGAAAGAAATGGTAACCTACTGCGTGAAAAAAAATCTGCTTCGTCAGTCATGTATCTTTCGATACACGATCGCCTAAGCCAATACCAGAAAATTGGTTTTTGATGCTGTTACGAGTTTTAAACCTTGCAATTGTAGTAAAAGGAATATTCAGGTTGTTAGAAATCGTTCTGTAACTGTTCCCATCTTTCCAAAGAGACAAAATGTGTTGCTTTTGTGAATTAGTCAATTCTTTAATTTAAGGCATTATTAGAACCTTCTCGTAAGACTACAAATTGCAGAATGCTCTGATAATGGCTAATAGCGTTAACTATAATTACAGATAACATTACTGGAACATTCTAGACTATACTTTTTTCACATATATATATATATATATATATATATATATATATATATATATATATATCTCTCTCTCTCTCTCTCTCTCTCTCTCTATATATATATATATATATATATATATATATATATATATATGTGTGTGGGTGCTACAAGACGATAATATTTCTGAGAGACGCCCAGGTGTTGTGTATTGAGCGAAAACAAACCATTATCGACCGCTGTTATGGAAAGGAACTTCATCGCTGTTACTGCCACCTAATCACTCCTAAGGAAGGGAGGAGAGGGTTAATCGCTGTCGTTTGGGGGATCCCCAAAGGGGAAATGCCGAAGGAAACTGCGATGTACACGTCAGGGCGCCCACTTTAAAATCAGTCGAGTCATCAATTCCGCTCGAGTCGGCTTCGGAGGCATAACGTAACCTATTTAATAAGACATAATATTAATATTTTTGTGATCATCCCACCCCATACAAAGCAATAAAGCCACTAAAACACAAGGGGGTCAATGAGTGTGAAAGATTCAGAAAAAAAAAGAGAAACATAATAAAGACGCGAAAACAATAAAAGAAAACGACTGACATTGCATTTGAATTTTGAAGATCAAAGTTGATTAGAAAGCGTGGAACCAGATGAATGTCCCACATATGAGAAAGACGAGAAAAGAACTTACAGTTACATATCATTCATTCAGCTGTGAATTGATGAGACCTTGCCGCCAATCTAGTACCGCGCTGAGATTCACGTTTAGGTACTGTCTGTCTCAATCTGCTTCTATCTATCTATCTATCTATCTATCTATCTATCTATCTATCTATCTTAATCTGTTCACATATCTCTCTTTATATATAGATATGTATATAGCTATATATCTATCTCTCTATATATATATATATATATATATATATATATATATATATATATATATATATATATATATATATATATATATATATATATATATATATATATATATATTATCAAGAAACTTTTAAATCCGTATGGGTAATCCCAAGGAGGATGAAATCCTGAGAGCTCAATGTAAATTTCATTTTTTCATTTCATTTTTTGGAAGTGCTATCTGATAATCCGGCGTCCTTTAAAAGGACTCTGAAGAAATAAATTATTATAATGGTACCTTAAAATTGGTTTTTCTTTTTAAATATATATATATATATATATATATATATATATATATATATATATATATATTAATGTTTATACATTCTTTTTATAGACACAAATATTTAAGTAAATGCTCTGTTTATAATAAACAGTATTAATGACATTTACCGGCCTGAATGTCCGAGAAATTTTCATAGAAAATATGTGTCCTCCGACAGGAATCGAACCTGTATCCTATACGGAACCGTCATATAACCTGATGTGCCTTCATCTATTGAGCCACAGAGGATCGTTCGATTAGATGAATGTACGTGAGAGATTCATGGAAGATTGTGGTTTAAAAGCAGTAAAATCGACCTTGCCAATCTGGCTCTTTAGGTTTATTTACTTATTTTGCCTACTTAGCGTATTGAGCACTTTGTTTAGTCATTTTTACTTTACTCGTGTCAAAGGTTTTTTCTTTGGTCTTTGAACTTAGATTCGAGACGATTATTTTCGCCGGAAGTAAATTTTCTTAGTTCTTTCTTCTTTTACCCTTTTTTTTTTCTCTTGTGTATTAGTTTGTTCATTTACAAACTAAAATACCTAAGGTTTTGCCGGACGAGTATAGCTGCTGATATTTATAAGATTATATATATATATATATATATATGCTTCAGTCTCTTTCTCACCGCCGTAATGTTGCCTCTCTGTGCCTTTTCTATAAATACTTTCATGGTAATTGTTAGGATGAGCTCTTTGCGATGGAGGGAGAACAGGAGCGCGAGGAAAATGAGTAGAAGGTAGAGGTGAAATAGGATGAATGGGAGTAGGAGGAGTAGGACAAAGAAGAATAGGGTAAAGAAGACAAAGTAAGTGAAAACAAAACAATCGAGAAGAAGAAGAAGAAGGGGAGAATAAGAATAAGAAATAAGAAGAAGAAGAAGAAGAAGAAGAAGGAAAAAAAAAATAATAAAATAATAAGAAGAAAAAAGAAGAAAAAAAGAAGAAGAAGAAGAAGAAGAATAGAAGAAGAAGATAATAATAATAATAATAATAATAATAATAATAATAATAAGAAGAATAAGAAGAAGAAGAAGAAGAAGAAGAAGAAGAAGAAGAAGAAAAAGGTTCCAAGAAGAAGAAGAAGAAGAAGAAGAAGAAGAAAAAAGAAGAAGAATAAGAAGGAAAAAGAATAATAATAAATAATAATAATAATAAGAAAAGAAGAAGAAGAAGAAGAAGAAGTAAAAATAAGAATAGTAAGGAAAATAATAATAATATTAATAATAATAATAATAATAATAATAATAAAAGAAGAAGAAGAAGAAGAAAAAAAAAAAAGAGGAGAAGGAGAAGGAAAGGACAGAAAAAGGAATGAAGAAGAAGAAGAAGAAGAAGAAGAAGAAGAAGAAGAAGAAGAAAAAGAGGAGGGAGAGGATCAGGAGGAGGGAGAATAGGAGGAAGAAGACAAAAAAAGAACGAAGAAAATACAGCCATATATATATATATATATATATATATATATATAAATATATATATAAAAAAAAAAGAATTCTTTGTCATTTGATTAAAAAATCCAAAAGAATTATGTCATTTGTATGTACTTTAAAAAAAGTTCATACAAAGTAAAGCTTAATATATATATATTTTTTACATATATGTATCTATATGCTCTTTGTATCATCTATGTGTATATTGCGCATATCTATCACTATCTATCTATCTCTATCTTTCTTTCATCTAATCTATCTAAAATCTATTCTATCTGTCAAAAAAAAAGTTCTATCTATCTATCTATCTATATCTATCTATATCTCAGTTTCTTACATATCTATCTATCTGTCTATCTATCTCAGTCTGTTCATATCTATCTATCTATCTATCTATCTATCTATCTATCTATCTATCTATCTCACCATATCTATCTATCTATCTATCTATCTATCTATCTATCTATCTATCTATCTCAATTTCAATCATATCTATCTATCTATCTATCTATCTATCTATCTATCAGTTTGTTCATATCTATCTATCTTCTATCTATCTATCTATCTATCTTTCATTCTCTATCTATCTATGTTCATCTCTGTCTCTATATCTCTATCTCTTTTTTTTATTCTGCTCACAAATAGAAAACTCAACGCGTTTCGTCTCCTGAGGGAGTTTTTCAAAGTAAATGTAGATATTTTATTTTGCAAATCGTATTTATAAACGGGAGTAGGTTTTAAATTGAAAACGTCTACACAAAGACTCTCATGTGATGAAACACGTCGGTAAACGAATTTCTTTATTTACCTTGTGTTTAAAGATATATTTTATAGATATCTGGATTTTTACATATCTATCTATCTCAGTCTATTCATATTTGTTTATATATCTACAAGATTTTGTTCATCATCTATCTATCTATCTATCTATCTATCTATCTATCTATCTATCTATCATGTTATATTCATATTTATATATCTATCTACCTGTCTGTCTGTCTATCTATCTACTTACCTATTCTCTGTTTTTGTATGATAATGATGAATAAGCTTCATTAGCCGACCACGGGTGGCTTTTCCGAAATGCACTAAACCTTTTCAAACGTAATTTCTTAACATTTCTTTTCAGTAAATGTATTTAATTTAAAAAAAGAAAAAAAATGAAGAAATTGCCGTAGAAATATCCTTTCAAAAGTGAAACTTGTTTTTCGAGTGCATTCTCTTCCGTCTCCATTCTTCTTGTTCGTATCCATTGTCAAACGTTGCTATTTTTCTTGCTTGAACGATTTGAACAAAATAACAAAAGATGGCGGAAACAGTTTTTTTTTTTTTTTGCGAATCAAATGCACGAAGCAAAGACACTTCTTTCCCACCCACCCCTTAATTCAAGCAGATTTTATTCTCAGATTTTCATATTTGAAGACTTCTGTCCGCATGCAATAAGTTATGATAAAAACTTTTCCAAGTAAAAGTGGATTGTGAATTTCATTTCCTGCTGTGATTGATTCTTTTCGCTTCCCCGCCAAAAATAGAGAAAAAAGTCAAGAAAAATGTTTTCCATGTTCTAAAATTGATAGAAAGCTAAACGGGCAAAGTATCTTAGTTTCCTCTATTAGGAGCAGATTTTTAAGAAACATTAAAAGAATTTGATGACAACTAAGTGCAACAGATAGGAAATTTGGTTCCAAAGTGGGTTAAATTTTAAAAGCCGGATTTTCGTCCTTAGTATAGGATTACAGAGAAATCTCCCTCTCCAAAGAGAATCATTAATAGATCCGTGGGTATCAAGTCAACTTGTGACACATTTTTGCAGAAAGAATTGCGCCTAACATAGGTATGTAGGTAGTTGTAAGCAAACCATTCTCATTCTCTCCGAATGACACTGATGAGTTGGAATTTCAAATCGAACAGCTTCTTCCCACAAACCATTGCTTTGTGAAATAGACTCCCAAGAGGATGCTTCCCTTATTTACGACAGTCTTAGCCTATTCTATCATAAGGTTAGTCGTTATTTTCTCGATATTTTGGCAGTGACACTCATTGGCTTAGTTTTGCGTTTTCCAAATTCTAATTCCGGAAAGCTAGTCTTTGTGTTTTCTAGAATGAATTTCTGTAGAATATGTTTTTACTTGGTCTTTTTAAACTGAGTGCTATGGTTCCCTTTGCTCGCAGCGTTTACATGCATGCAAAGACTCGGATACGTAATTTAAAATCTTTCAATTTAATCTATCTATCTATCTATCTATCTATCTATCTATCTATCTGTTCATTATCTGTCTATTCATCGATCTATGTAGTAGTTCATTACCTAACAGCTCATTATCTATCTATCCATCTATCTATCAGTATCTATCTATCTATCTATCTATCTATCTATCTATCTATCTATCTATCAAAACCTGTTTATATCTATCTATCTAGTGTTTGACGACAATATTTGAGTATAAGTTAATCATGAAAACCTCAAATTTTAAATTACGTACGTTCTCTCTTTTCTAAGTTTGGCGCTACAGAATCTTCTTATTTGCAGACGTAAAATCATAAGACTTTCATTAGTAATTAGACTGACAGAAATATTTCTGCTCTGTCTGAACTGAACCTGCACAATCCTCACTGTGCAGCCTTGATAGAGTTCAAAATCACTGACATGGTCTTGTGGGGTCCGTCTTGTTTCCTACCCTGCAACCCCTTTGCCCAAAGACGCAAAGACACAAGCCCATCGCTATTTCCATGGCAAATGTTCAGACGCGCTGTATTCTTTAGTCCAGAGATTTATAACTAGGGCACATCATGCTACTCCGACGAAGTCGAAACACCTGTATTTCCTCCGTATTCCTAATTGCTGTGAGGGACAATATTTCCCTACAAGTTTGGACTCGGCCGTCGGACCAAAGGCATAAGAATACTCCGACATCAAGAGGAGTAGCAGGAGAAGCAGTAGCTTTTGCTGAAAACAGTCATTCACGGCTAAACATTCGCTTCTCTAATTCCTGTTCTACATTATGTTTCCTTGTACCAAAAAGTAATAAACTTGTTAAACCAATTCCAGTTTTCTACTGTTGTTTTTGATAACTCAATTACAACACTAATGTAAGGAGCGCGTTCCATACAAACTGCTTTTTTCCAAGAACTGCTACATTGTGGAACAGACCCCTGTATGGATGATGCGGTCTTAACCCCTTCAAGTTAAGGGCCAATCGTTATCTATCCTCCTTGTCCCCATAAAACTCCACTTCCTACCAACTTCAATTACATTCATATCTATTGTGTAGAAAGACTAAACATGGACGCGTTTGTCCGCTATGAGTAGAACGCCTGCTCATGGAACAGTGGCAAAAAGTTGGTCGCAAAGGCGTATCGCTTTTCAGTCTTAGCCTTGTCCCGCTCAGCTGCTTTATTCTAAATTCATGTGTTCTTCTTCACTCAACATGTGCTCCCCGTGATTTTTTACAGTCTTACTGTTATGTCACCTATTCTATAGTTAATAGACTCTCCCACCTATAAAAAGTAAAGTCGCTCAACAGTTGGGGTCATTTAATATTATCAGTTCACCTCTGAACTGACTGCACGGTTCAACTCTCTTCCTACGGGCGAGAGGAACCCGAAGGAGGCTACGCCGAAGGGCGGAGTCTCCTTCGGGAGGTTAAACCGGCCCAGAACCCGTTTATGCGGGTTCAAATGGGCTATTTTTGGCCGGGCCTAATGGCTCGGGAATGCCCACGTTAAAAAGGCCTTGTGCCACAACACCCTCGTGGGGGGTGACTGAATATTGTCAGTCGTTCACCTCTGAACTGACTGCACGGTTCAACTCTCTTCCTACGGGCGAGAGGAACCCGAAGGAGGCTACGCCGAAGGGCGGAGTCTCCTTCGGGGAGGTAAATAATGGCCCCCTATACCCGTTTATACGGGTTCAAATGGGCTATTTTTGGCCGAGCCTAATGGCTCGGGAATGCCCACGTTAAAAAAATTGTGCCCATGACACCCTCGTGGGGGGTGACTGAATATTGTCAGTCGTTCACCTCTGAACTGACTGTTCGGTTCAACTCTCTTCCTACGGGCGGAGGAACCCGAAGGAGGCTACGCCGAAGGGCGGAGTCTCCTTCGGGGAGGTAAAATCGGCCCTGAACCCGTTTATACGGGTTCAAATGGGCTATTTTTTTTTGCGAGCCTAATGGCTCGGGAATGCCCACGTTAAAAAGGCCTTGTGCCACATGACACCCTCGTGGGGGGTGACTGAATATTGTCAGTCGTTCACCTCTGAACTGACTGTTCGGTTCAACTCTCTTCCTACGGGCGGGAGGAACCCGAAGGAGGCTACGCCGAAGGGCGGAGTCTCCTTCGGGGGGTAAACTCCGGCCCAGAACCCGTTTATACGGGTTCAAATGGGCTATTTTTTTGCCGAGCCTAATGGCTCGGGAATGCCCACGTTAAAAAGGCCTTGTGCCACATGACACCCTCGTGGGGGGGGTGACTGAATATTGTCAGTCGTTCACCTCTGAACTGACTGTTCGGTTCAACTCTCTTCCTACGGGCGGGAGGAACCCGAAGGAGGCTACGCCGAAGGGCGGAGTCTCCTTCGGGAGGAGTAAAACCGGCCCAGAACCCGTTTATACGGGTTCAAATGGGCTATTTTTTGGCCGAGCCTAATGGCTCCTAGGAATTCCCACGTTAAAAAAAGGCCTTGTGCCACATGACACCCTCGTGGGGGGTGACTGAATATTGTCAGTCGTTCACCTCTGAACTGACTGTTCGGTTCAACTCTCTTCCTACGGGCGGGAGGAACCCGAAGGAGGCTACGCCGAAGGGCGGAGTCTCCTTCGGGGAGGTAAAATGGCCCTGAACCCGTTTATACGGGTTCAAATGGGCTATTTTTTGGCTGAGCCTAATGGCTCGGAAATGCCCACGTTAAAAAGGCCTTGTGCCACATGACACCCTCGTGGGTGGGTGACTGAATATCGTCAGTCGTTCAACTCTGAACTGACTGTTCGGTTCAACTCTCTTCCTACGGGCGGGAGGAACCCGAAGGAGGCTACGCCGAAGGGCGGAGTCTCCTTCGGGAGGTAAAACCGGCCCAGAACCCGTTTATACGGGTTCAAATGGGCTATTTTTTGGCCGAGCCTAATGGCTCGGGAATGCCCACGTTAAAAAGGCCTTGTGCCACATGACACCCTCGTGGGGGGGTGACTGAATATTGTCAGTCGTTCAAGTTTTGAACTGACTGTTCGGTTCAACTCTCTTCCTACGGGCGGGAGGAACCCGAAGGAGGCTACGCCGAAGGGCGGAGTCTCCTTCGGGAGGTAAAACTCGGCCCTGAACCCGTTTATACGGGTTCAAATGGGCTATTTTTTTGGCCGAGCCTAATGGCTCGGGAATGCCCACGTTAAAAAGGCCTTTGTGCCACATGACACCCTCGTGGGGGGGTGACTGAATATTGTCAGTCGTTCACCTCTGAACCGACTGTTCGGTTCAACTCTCTTCCTACGGGCGGGAGGAACCCGAAGGAGGCTACGCCGAAGGGCGGAGTCTCCTTCGGGGAGGTAAACTCGGCCCTGAACCCGTTTATACGGGTTCAAATGGGCTATTTTTTTGGCCGAGCCTAATGGCTCGGGAATGCCCACGTTAAAAAGGCCTTGTGCCACATGACACCCTCATGGGGGGGTGTGACTGAATATCGTCAGTCGCTCAACTCTTGAACGACTGTTCGGTTCAACTCTCTGTCTATGGGCGAGGGAGGAACCCGAAGGAGGCTACGCCGAAGGGCGGAGTCTCCTTCGGGAGGTAAACCTCGGCCCTGAACCCGTTTATACGGGTTAAAACGGGCATATTTTTCTAAACGAGCCCACGGGCTCATAAAAACCCACAATAAACAACCGACCTTGTGTCACATGTTGCCCCAGTAGGGTGGGGGAGACTGAATATTGTCAGTCGCTCAACTCTTGAACGACAGATGGATTGAACTCTCTTCCTTCGGGTGAGGAGGAACCCGAAAGAGGCTACGCCGAAGGGCGGAGTCTCTTTCGGGGAGGTAAAACTCGACCCTGAACCCGTTTATACGGGTTCAATGGGCATATTTTTTATATTCCCACAGGCTCGGAGATGCCCACGTTAAAAAGGCCTTATGCCACATGACGCCCTCGTGGGGGTGACTGAATATCGTCAGTCGATGCCGGACGACCGTTAGTCGGATACTAAAGTATCAGCAACCCCAACGAGATTTCTCTGCGTCATTACCTATTATATCAAGTTCCTAACGTTTTGTACGTCGAACCTATTTTAGGACCGACTTAGTACAAATACAAGCCTCCACTGTGAAACCACTCCATAACACTTACTAACCAGCAGCTATGTGCGTTAGACGAACTTTATGACAATATCTCATACTTCTTTCATCATAGTCATTTTAATAATAGTGCTCTACCATGTGTGCCTCTCATGCCTTGTATTAGATGAATTTTAGCGTGAAAAAACGTCTCCGTTTCGAGTTTAAAGATGTATTTTCTTTCCTCCTAAATTGATTCTATTCAATTCTTGTGGATTCGAAAGAATGGTTTACGTTTCAGCTAACTTTAAATTACTTACCGACTTTTGTTCAATAACATTATTTTCATTATTAATAATTATGTTCACACCATGTGGTCTGCGGCTGACGTAAAAAAGTGACTGACAGCAAATCCAATAAAATGTGGATAGATATTTACTTATTTACTCAAAACAACTCGAGGTCAGGTTGTGACACAAGGTCGGTTTAATGTGGGGAGCCCAAGCCCGTACACCCGGGCTAGGAACAAAAATTCACCGGGCCCCCGCAACTGTCGGTTGCGCTGGCCTCGGTGCGTGCACCGATCCTTTTCTCTAGTGCAATGAGAAGGCGGGGCCCCGGGCAGCTGTTCCCCTGGGCCGGCACCTCTCAGTATAATTTTCATCAGTTGACGGAGTCGCCCCTGAGTGCACTCTGCCCAAAGACAGAGATGCAACTGAGAGATGATAAGTAGACGTGAAATTACTCAAAAAGAGTAATTTGCGTGTGGGTATGTGAGTGGCGTAGCAGATATCAGCGCTTTAAGCGGATTTCGCGTGTCGAGTAATTTTACTTCCAACCATCTCCGCTTATATTCATAGCACTTACTCATTCATCATTACCGTTTTAATAGCAAACCTCTACTTTGAGTGGCTCTCGAGCACTGTATTGCGTGATCTTAATTTAAAATATCATCGGAGTGACTGGAATATTTTTAATTGTTTTTTTTTACTGTAACGGAATTTTTCTTGTCAGAATCCATCTTGCACCTTTATAAATTCGTCCATGGATTGAATATTATTGACATATATTGTCTGGTGTTCTTGCTGCAATTACTCAAGATTCTTGAGAAAATTCAAAGAAGGGTTTCGAATGTGTTCGATCTCGATTTCAGTCACGTCGCTTCTTTT